ACAGAAAAACCAGACGAATATCAATCGGATGACAATGAAGGAGAAATAGAATATCTCGAAGAAGAAATGATAGACTCTCCTCTTACTGATGCATTGCCCTCTACGAAAACATCTTTGAAGAGTCCCGGTGGGGCTCTCAAGTGCAAATTATGTTCGGAGATGTTCGATTCGGCGATATCCTTCAGGAAACACGTAGCGTGGACTCATAAGAAGAAGGTGTGTATAAAAGAAGATGGCGCTTATATATGTGCCGTGTGCGACTATAGAACCTTAAAGAAGAGCTCGTTCGCCATGCATCTCAAGAGGAAGCACGAGACCTGGTCCAGGAAGCGATCCAGTGACATGATGTTCCCTTGTGAAGCTTGCGGCTTTGTTTGCAGATCGAAGCATTCCTTGCAGTCCCACTTCATAAGGAAACATACGGATAAATATGAACATCAGTGCAGTGCTTGCCCAAAGAAATTCAAAGTTAAGGGTGATCTAACGAACCACATACGATTCCATCACAAAGAGAAGCCGGTTAAATGCGATGTATGCGATAAAGTGTGTCTGAACACCGGCTCGTTGTACGTGCATCAAAAATGGGCACATTACAAGCCAAAATATGAATGTCACATCTGCAAAAGGCGTATGGTTACACAGGAAAATCTGGCTCAGCATTTGGTGACGCAACACGAGAAACGCGATAAGATAGTCTGCGCCGAATGCGGTAAGACGTTCACGAAAAAGGACTCTTTTAAGAGGCACATGGTTGTCCATACGGGATGCAAGCCTCATTCTTGTATGATCTGTAAGAAACCTTTTGCCAGAAGATCACAGTTGCGCCAGCATCTGCTTATTCATACTGGCAAACGGCCGTTTGTATGTGACATTTGCGGCAAAGCGTTCACGCAAAAACCAGGTTTGATCTGTCACAGAAAGACTCATCCTGGTCCTCATCCACCATTGCCCGTTATGCCGATCGCCGATCTCGTTAACGAATTCACAAAAGAATACGTGCAAGAGAACGAGGAGAAAATCGACGAGGAAATGTGAACGCTCGATTCAATATATGAATACGTATACGTTACATTTTTTTTTTAACTATCTCTCTCTTTCTCTCTCTAAAGTAGCAAAAGTGCACAAGATCATTACGTAACAAAAAGATAAAATAATTGAAACTTTTTTCTATACAGTATAGAAGCATAAGATTTCAAGATGGCAACTTTAAAATTTTTCAACAAAATCTCGCATTCACGCATATTCTTTATGATCACTCATAAGATTATCAAACGTTTCTGATTTTTTCGTAAAGTGATTATTAAAATTTCTTATAATATGATATAATTCTTATATGATTACATATATGTGTATATTAATTACATATATTTTAATTATTTATAATGTAATAATTATATATGTATTTAATATTAAACATATTTAAATTATATAAAAATTATTAAATTTTTTTAAGACATCAATCTATATTGTTTGTTCTTTTTCCAAAAACGTTGATCAATATCATAACGAGATTTTTTAAAATTGTTACTAATAAATCTGAGTGCCATAGTGTATGCTATTTGAATATATTTTACGAATGTATTATCTTCACTCTATCTCTTCAAATTAAAACTTAATTATAAAATAAAACAAATTTTTATTTCATTGTAATAAAACATGTATTAAGAAAATGCAAACTTATTATGTTGAAGATATTTTGAAGTAATAAAAACGTGACTACTTTCAAAGTCTAGAAAATTACAATGACTTGTTTGTAATCAAAATTGAAATAAATCTTGAAAAATAGGTGAATATATGAACGAATAGATTATATAAGCTGTATAGATTATAATTAGTAATTGTACATTGCATATTTACAAAAATAAAAAAGTGATCATTCAATTTTTGTTTCGCCCTTCAACTGTTTAAGATTATCTGATAATATTTTATTATAATAAAATTAAAACTGTACATTTCTTGAACCAATAAAATGCATTACAAATAGAGTTAATAGCATAATATTTTTTAAATTTATCTATTGCAGTTAAATGTTTTATTTAAATTCAATAAAAATAAATTTCTAAAAGCTGTTTTATTGGTTAAAGAAACAGTTATGATTCAATCAAATTATTATTTGGTAAAAAATATTTTTGAATGCTGATCCTTTGTGAGTAGAAAAAGAATCTCAATGTTAAATGATATGTTAATGATATCAATGATAAAGAAATATAACTTATAAATTAGAGTTATAATATTTTTTCTTTGAAATTATTAATTATTTTACAGAAAATGATTTCAGTATACATACATTTGTATATATGTGCACGTATTTATGCATGCATCTGTTAATTTATTATTTCTTTCTTTGATTGTCCAATGAATTATCCGACATTATTTTTTATTATATATTTAACTTAACTTTATTATTTTATTCATTAACATTTTTAATTCACAAATAAATATAAAAATTTTAGAATTTTGCATTTTTCTTGTAGAAGTGTGAAATAAATTAATTTAAGCATTTATACAAATATTTTTTTCTATTATTGAACAATCGCTTTAAAGATTAAAGATTAAGGAAATAATTTAAAGATGGAAAAATTAAATATTATTTTTATAAAAATTAAGCAAGGTTTTCTTAGTATATTTTAATATATTTTTAATATGTTTTAATATATTTCATTAATATTCTTGAGTCTCTTTATTTCATTTTCTACTTTAGGATCAGCATTTTTTGGGAAATACAAAATAATTTTTTAAGTAAGATATACGTCGTATTAAATACAATATAATATTTTATGATATGCGCAAACGCAAACATAATTGTTTTATGCTTTATATTATAACTTTCTGTATTTATTGTACAATAAATATATGATCTTATTATTCAAAACTATCATCATTTTGTATGGAGAAACATAAAACAATTTAATTCATATAAGAATAAAATTAGTCAAAATGTGATTGGTTAAAATGTGCTTTCATTAAATTTTCAAATTTTTTAAATATTAATTCGTGTCGTATAAAACACTAAATGATAGATCTCGAGTAATTTTTATCATAAATTTCTCCATACATAATAACGTATATATTTTCTAGAATACGCGCGCGCGCGCACACACACACACACATACATGCATACATACATACATATATATATATATATATATATATATATATATATATATATATATGAATCAATTTATAAATAATAGTATATTATTAAATAGCTTTATATAATGCAAAACTATTTTTTCTAAGAATACTGTATGTAATAAAATTAAGCTAAGTAAGATTTGTGCACAAACGTATAAACTATTATCTTAAATAAATATTTTTAATGATATGAATTTTTGTAATTATCTTGAGATAAATAACGTATATTTTTAATTAGTACATATCAATATTAAGATTACGTTTTTTTATAACAACCAATGTTTATAACAACCAAAATACGTTTTGTAAATATCCTCGAAGATTAAATTTTACGAAACATTTCGTAAAATTTCACAATCGAGATAAGTATATCGAGATAAATATACTTTACATTAACATTTACATACAGCTATGTTGAAACTTCAGAAATTATAATTTTTTTTCTTAAATTTGCAGGAATGTAATTGATACGGATCTTTTACAAATCTATGAAGAAAAGTACACCACAATTATTGAGTCCTTAAAATAACAAGAAAGTTGATTACACAAGGAAATAAAAAGAATAAATAAAATTTGACGTATGAGAAATAAATCAGAGAAAAACCATACATATCGTCATCGTTTACTGTAAAGTACAAATATATTTAAAAGATCTATTCGAATAAAAGAGAAGTTAAGTAGAAACGCTTGGACTTATAACGTATACTCTACTGACTTTGTCTTATAGTTGAAGAGTTATATGAAAAGCCATTCTTTTATTTCTACGAATGCCGCAAGAAATCTTACAAGTTAGAAGAGCACCTGTAGCAATACACAAATAAGATACATGCTTCCAAAAATATTCTTACGACGCCGTGCACTCCGCAAATGCAAGCAATCGTTGCGAAAGCATTATTTAAAGAAAAATAAACAGAATCTGAATTATGTGTGCGCTAAGTTTTTCAAGATGAAGTAATTTGTATATGCACGAGCAAAATATATACAATAGTATTCGCGAAACCTATCGAGCAAGACTTATCGAAATTCGTTTGCTCTTAAGAGATACTTGAATCATCTCTCAGATTGTAAATTCTTGCTACTTGTGTGAAAGGAAATTCGCGATAAAGGAATCACTAAAAAGCACAATCTATAATTTGACTGCAAAATGCACAATCATTGGAAGAGATTCGTGTATCAAGTATACCAAAATCTTCAATGACACTCTGAGGATTCACGATGACGTCATGATTATCCAATCTGTGACAAATCGTCAGGAGCAAGAGCATGTAAGCAGCATTCGCTCGATGTTAGACCATATATGCGATGTGTACGATCAAAGTTCCGCGCAGAAATCAAGGATTAATCAATCAACATCGGAAGAATCCTGGGCTACCTCCGCTTCTCACGATAGATTACATCATCAAGGATTTATTAAAGACGAAAACGGAAAAGAAAGTTTAATGAAGTGGAGACGCAAATCCAATGTGTCCTATTTATTTTTGGAATTAAGAAGGATTGTACAGTATAGAGATAATGTCTAAGGAAGAAGAAGAACGAATGCCATTTTGTATTAAGAAAGAGTTTCTATGTTATAATAAATTATACTTTTTCGCCTGAGAAAAATATTATATTTTATTTTTCTTACATATATATTTAGATTGAAGAAATGACAATTCTCAACCCACGAACGTTTGCAACATGGATACTGCAGTTGTTTTAAATATTTTTATATAAATTTATCATATATATAAATATAAATATATAATATTCTTTTATATATATATATATATATATATATATATATATATATATATATAAAAGAATGTGCGTATAAAAATGTATAAACATGCTACATAACAAAATATTTTAATTTACGCAATAAGAGAGAAATTCACAGATTAATGATATAAATAATATTCTTGCAAATTAATTGCCCTTTCTTTTAATAAAAAAAATATTAACATTAAAATTGTTAACAGGTGAAAATCATATTTTGGCTAAAAAATATATGCTAAATTTATATCGTGTGCCGACGTATTGTCGTATATATTGTTCATTCACCTATCATATATATTCTAAAAAATAATAATCCTGAAATTGTCAAAATAAAAAATAATTATATACATTATAATAATATAAAAATAATTATAAATCTAATAATTAGCTCGAATTTTTTTCTCACTTTGCTTCATTTTTTATAATTTCTCAAATTATCATTTTTACGCGTATCTATAATATTTATATTAAAAGGAAGTGCCATTGACTAAAAATGTCTTGTAACGAAACATTGCTAATAAAAAATACATATTTGAAACAATGAATATTATTTGAAATAATAAATTTATAGAATTGTTATTAAAAAAATTTATATACTCTTCGCGAAAGCTTTTGCAGAATATTAAGTTTATATTTTTCATTAAATTGGCTATGACTGAAATATTGTTACAAGCGCAAGTCGGATAAATAATTAAAATAAGATAAAACGAGGCATTTTCATATTTTTGGACATTTTATGACAAAACATTTTTTTGTCGTAGGTTTACTGAATTACTAGAACTCGATGAAATTAAGATGGACGCAATCAAGATCGAAGGAAGTCTTCAGGGAGCGGATGCATTGTTTTTGCAAGCAACCATGAATGCTGCCAATAAGATAAACAGCACAGAGAACAGTAAAGAAAATAAGGATGCAGCAAGTTCATCATCATATGTGTGCAATATTTGCGGCTTCCCGTGCCAAACGAAAGGGGGTTTAATAAGACACGTGCAGCTTCACGAGCATACATGTAGCATCTGCAATGGCCTGTTTGAATCGTCGAAAAAGCTACAGAGTCACATGGCCACCAGTCATGGTGAGGCCAAGTACTTGTGTAAATTGTGCAACACTACTCTTTGGAGTAAGCCGGACTTGAGAAAACACTTTATGACAAAGCACTTGGATCCCTTTTGCAACACCTGCAGCATTTGTAATCAGGAATTCCAGACGATGTACGCTATTACGAGACACATGCATCGCTCACACAGCAGTGTCTCTATATCGTGCACTATCTGCAAATGCGAATTTGGTAATTCTACAGCGTTGAGATCGCACAACAAACACGTTCATTTGAAGTCGGGTTTCCAGTGTGGCATCTGCGGGAGACGAGATATCTTCAGTGTGATTGAGCTGGAAACACATTTACGCCGACACAAAGATAAACAACGCGTATCAAGCATGCATGTTTGCACAACGTGCGGGCAGTGTTTCGATAAGAAGCCTCATTTGTCCGAACATATGATCAGATGTCACAATAAAATTAATCCTTACATATGTCCGATTTGCAAAAAGAGCTTCGAAAAACGTTCGAATCAAATACAACATATTCTCACGCACATGCATAATGTATATGCGTGCGACATCTGCGGAGCGAAATTCCCGCGAAGATCTTCTTTAATATGTCATAGGAAAATGCATCCTGGACCGCTCGGGCCATTGCCAATTATACCTATAACGGGCATTGTGAGCAAGTTTGTTAGAGATTATTTGAACAGTAACAAGGGTCTGTCAGATCCTTAATCGTAGATTTGATATAATTAAGTCTAAAAAGTATTAGCGAATAATTTATTTTATTCGAAATTGCTCTTTCTTTAGGAAATAGGATTTTTATAAAGTAAAGATAGACTCTTTCGCGAGAGTAATTTTTCTATAAGCGTTTTTAATTATGTCGTCGCAAATTGCAGTTATAAAATAAGAGATTTATATTGTTCTTTCTCGATTATACTTCGATATTATAGTTTGATTAGATTATGATTATAATATAGTTATATTTTCTGTTATAATGTTATGATATAATGTGCTATGTTTTATTTTGAAACGAAGAGATACGATTTAACTCAAATATGTACAACAAATTTATTTAAAATATATTAACGATTAATTCAAATTATATTTTTCGGATCGTTCGATTAATCAATTTATTCCTCAATAATTATTTTATTTAATTATTTGTAGAGAATTTATTTATTCTCGCCTGTCAGGTAAGTTATCATTTGTCTTTCACATAATTAATGATAACACTAACTCTCGCTCTTTTTTAGATGGCTGAAAAATTTTGCGTTACATGCGATAAGCCACGCTTTCATCGATATCTAAAATCGATATAGTGTCTTTCGTAAATATCTGCAGACTTCTAATCATTCATTTAGGAAGGTAACTTGCAAGACGACAATAGAGTATCTGAATGCTTATTAAATCGCGTCTATAGTGGTCATTAAACTGTTTCCAATCACTTCCCTCTTTATTAGCGAAATCTCGATAGTTCTAATCGACAGATTTAAACAATCATATTCTCGATTTATAGTTAATGATAACGCAAACTTTTGCCTTTTTATGTTTTAGAGTCGCAGATCCGTTAAATGTTGAATCCATTGTCTCCCAAAAATCATGCGAACGAGAAAAGCCTTTAGAAGATGAAGAGCAAATTTCAGGAAGGAATGCAAACTCGACAAGAGAATCTACTCTGCGAATTGGAACTGAAGAAAATCGGTCAGTTAGGAAGAAGGCAACATCTGTACAGTGCGATCACTGTTGCCGGAAATTCCTGAAGAAAAACAATCTTGCCGAGCACTTGAAACAGCATAGACACAAGTGTGCCGATTGTCCGAAGACCTTCAGTCTTCGGCGTTATTTGGTCTCTCATATCGAGAAGAGTCATCGACAGCAGATGTACGAGTGTAGTGTATGCAAGTACAAGAGTAACAACAAGGGTACCCTGAAGAATCACTATATCCGACTACACACGAGCAATTACGATTATGCGTGCGAAATTTGTGGAAAGCAATTCAAGATCAAGAAAGCCTTGAATCACCACGTGAAGCAGAATCACAGCGAAGCACCGCCAATCGTGTGTGATGTCTGCGGCCATTTCAGCAAGAATCTACACGCTCTTAAAGCCCATATGAAGTACAGACACTATAAACCGGAATTTGTTTGCCGGATATGTCGACGAGGCATGACTACACAGGAGAACTTGGAGCAGCATCTCATGTGGCATGAAACCAGGGAGAAGGTGCTTTGTCCGACTTGTGGTAAAAGATTCCGAGGACGCGATCTTGATTCACACATGAGGGTGCATACCGGAGTAAAGCCTTTTCCCTGTCCCGTCTGTGGAAAGACGTTTCGACGACAAACAGCACAAGAGCAACATGTGTTGATCCACACTGGGAAGAGACCCTACATTTGCGATATTTGCGGCCAAGCGTTTGCCCAAAAGCCCGGTCTCATCTGTCACAGGAAGAGACATCCTGGTCCACTGCCCCCGTTGCCTGTAGTCTCCATTAAGAACATTGTTACGGAGTTTACAAAAGAATACACACGAAAAAACACAGTCATAAAGATAGAATAAGAAATTTATAATATTTTTAGTGCACATGATAAGATGAAATCAACTGCATTTTGAATATTTCGTTATTACACAATAGAGAGAATAATTAAACATTTGACATAAGAAAAGGACCAAAAATTTCAGAAAAAGTTACTTTTCCAAAAAAATATTTTTTACATTTTGTTTATGTAAAAGAGAGAGGTATATTTCTTTTATATGTTTGTAGATATAAATATATAATATTTTTATAACTCTTATAAATATTTTTATAAACTATACTTTTACATTATAGTTTATACATGGTCTATATATGGACTTTTTCTCAGCAAAAATGTATTATAGAAATTATATATATACATATAGAGTTTTTCTCAAGTTTTCAAATTTAAATCTTTTTATAATTCTTTTGTTGTATTGTGTATTCAATTTGTAATAAATATGTAATTTTTATAAATTTTGAATATATTTATTGTGGCTTCCTTATATATGTGATAATAAGAGTTTAATATAAAGAATTAAAGAACACATACAATGTTCTATTTGTTTAAAATGGATATTGAAAAAGAAATATCAGCATTATATTTTTTTACTCAACTATTGAATGAGAAATGCGAATTTAATTAAAACGATTTTAATATGAAACGATTAATGATAACGATGAACAATATTGATCATTATTTAATGTATTATTTTTACCAGAAAATATTTCGATGATAAAATTTTATATAAATATGAATTAATTTAATTTAATTTAATTTTTGTTAAAAATGAAAAAGTGCAATATATAGAATTTTAATTAACTAAAAATTAATTTCAAATAATTAGTCAGTTATTTTTTATTAATATGTATCGGATCATTGAATTTAAAAATACTTTCTGTTACATAAATTATGATTTATATTTACGACTTAACTGAACGATATTTTTCATATTCTCTTTGTAGATTAGAAATATTTTCGAGTAAAAAAACCGGAAAAAATTCGACACATTCTTAATATCTCAAGTAAGTAAGCATAATATCCAGCGATAGATCATGAGATGTTCGTAATAAAATTTAATACAATATATGTAATTTATGTTTTAGCGATTCACCCATGGATCCTCTGAACGTCGTGGACATCAATAATTCGGAACATTCGCTTGTCGAAAGCATAGAATGCACTCCTGAATATGATTCGTTACCAAATAGACTTAAACGGCACATTACTAAAAAAAGAAAAATGCCGAAACTGGAAAATCATTGTACGAAGAAAGATACGAAAAAGCAAAATCACGATCAGAACAAGATCAAGAAGAGGAAATCCGAGCTCTTTTTGGAATGTGCCACATGTGGTGAACGATTTAGCGACAAATCCACTATGATAAAACACATGAGCCAGCATAAATACCAATGTCAAACCTGTTGCCAGAGTTTCAGTTTGAAACGAGATCTAAAGCGTCATATCGAGAAGGTTCACGGACTTCTACTCTATCCTTGCAGCATTTGCGAGTACAAGAGCAACAATAAATGCACCCTAAAGGATCACTTCATAAGGAAACACACTAGTAGCTTCCAGTATATCTGCACGGTTTGCAAGAAGCAGTTCAAAATCAAGAATGATTTGAAGCAACATATGAATCAAGTGCATAGTGGCGAACCACCCATCATTTGTAGCATCTGCGGACATGCGTGTAAGAATGTGCCTGCCATCAAGGCGCACATGAAGTACCGACACTACAAGCCGGCTTACGAGTGCAAGATATGCAAACGTGGCTTGACCACGCAAGAGAACCTGAACCAGCATCTAATCTGGCATGAACGGAAGGAGAAGGTCGTCTGTCCTACTTGCGGCAAGACTTTTGGCCAGAAGAGAGATTTGGATCTTCATTTGAGGATCCATCAGGGTATCCGACCATTCTCTTGTCCAGTTTGCAACAAGACTTTTCCTAGAAAGACCGCGCAAGAGCAACACATATTAATTCACACCGGCAAGAGACCGTATATTTGCGATATCTGCGGCCAAACTTTTGCACAGAAACCGGGACTCATTTGCCATAGGAAACGTCATCCTGGACCACTGCCGCCGTTACCTGTAGTATCTATTAAAAAAATAATCATGGACTTTACGCAAGAATTGGGAGTTTCTCATATGCAGCAACAAGATAAAATAACGTTAGATAGCTAAATGTCAATTCGGAAAGAATTCCGCTGCATTGACGACAATTCGCCGTCCGAAATTAATGAAGTTTGTTCAGATTAATTTTAAAATACACAAGATGTTCTTGTACATACATATAAATACATGACAGATCAATTATGATCACGAATTTCGAAGAAGAATTTGTTTTCTATAATTAAAAATTATCTAGTAGAAAGAAAATTTAATTGAAAAATTCATCTTTTAAATGATGTAGTTTAAAATACATAATTTGTATTTAAAATGGCTGAATTTATTTATGCTATACATTTTAGAAATTATATTTTAATTTCTGTGTTCCTAATTTTAAGTATTTTATTTTTTTATGTAACGTTCCTTTGTCAATAAATTTTAATTAATTTGTTTTCAATATATAATACTTTTAAATATATTACTGAAATGAGAGACACATAGCTTATGGCAGAAAATGAGATTTTAAATTGTAATGAAAAATTTTTGTAATAATTTTGATATAATAATTTTGATTCCTATATGTAAGCACATACATGCATATATAAGTATATAATTTTTTAATAACGAGAAAAAAACAGATTTAAAAAATATCAGAAAATGTTTACACAAAAGTTCTATGTACATACATATATATACAATACTTTCAATTAAAAATTATATAGCATACATTTTTTTTCTCTATCATGCTAGTGTGTATATAAATAACTGTGTATTTACTGCGTTTAAATAAAAAAGTTTGCTCAATTATTTTGGTATTATATTCTCCTGAAATTTAATAAAGAATAAAATATCTAAATAATATCTCTATCTATCTTATAAAAAATATCTAAATTTTTGCATACGATTAAAAAATGTATAATTATTGTATATACTACATATATGTGCATTATTTTTTTAAATAATATAATTTTTTATCAAAGAATTTTTTATCTTTGTTTTTTAAATATATATATCAAGCAAATGCAAATTTAATCTAATAAGTGTGCTTTCATATTTTAATTTATTTTAAGAAAATTTAAATATAATTTTATTTCTTTGCTTTATGAAATAATATAATGTGTATCGTTTTTGTAATATATATTTGTTTTATAAAATTAATACATATATTTAATAATTTATAAATTAACACGAGATAGTAATCTTTTTTACTATCTTAAAAATTTAAGATTTAAGCTTAAATAAAATATTTAAAATAATTATTTTATGATTTGTATGATGAAAATTTTATTTAACAGATATAACATAAATGATTTATTTCTATTTCATCGAAATTTTATAAAAAATAATAAAGCGCTTTGCAATTTTGTACATTAATACCTTTACACACTTATTAATACTTTTACACATTTATACCTTAATCTTTATTAATGTTTCTTAATATTATCATATTATTTATTTATTAAAGACAATTAATTAAAAAAAAAGATTAATAAAAAAAGAACAAATAATTTGAAATGAAGAGATGAATATATAGCACTTTTTTACAATAAGAAACATATATCCTACTTAATTTTTAATTTGACTCTTGCAAGATTTTATCACGAGACACATATCTCTCATTACCCTCCGTTATTTCAGGCAACGAAGGGGTAAGTCGCGCGCCATGCATCAATGCGTCAAATGCGGAGCTTGCTTTCGCCATACGCGAAAACTCGTGGAGCACCTGAAGAACCTTCACAATATCGATCGAGCTTTCAGCTGTGACGAGTGCGATAAGACGTTTCGTAGTCCGATGAACATAGCTCGCCACAAACTGATCCATACCGGATTGAAGATGTTCATCTGCGATCTCTGCGAGTATAGCACTAATCAAAAATCCAATCTGGAATGCCATCGTCGCCGACACGCGAAGGATTATAGTTTCAAGTGCGAGTTGTGCGACAAGGGTTTCTTTCACAAGACCGAATATCTGGAGCACCAGAATGCGCATACGAATAAGAATTTGTATCGTTGCGAGCATTGTTGCAAGTACTATTTCTACAAGAAGAACCTGTCAGTGCACCTGGTAACGCATCACACGAGCAAACAGACCGCGAAGAACACGAAGACGAGGCATGTGTGCAGGTTCTGTCCGGAAAGATTCGTCTACAAAAGACTGCTGAAGAGACACATGAAGAATCAGCACGGATTCACGGAACACGCTCCGACGAAACACCTATGCGATCTGTGCGGCGCAGAATTGTCATCCTTAAGACGATTAACGGTGCACAAACGTAATCACGTGGGCGAGAAGATCTTCGAATGCGACACGTGCGACAAGAGATTCGCCAGCAAAGAGAACCTGAGTATCCACAAACGAACGCACACAGGTGACAAACCATACGTGTGTCCACAGTGCAGTAAAAGTTTCACACAGAGGACTTCGTTGGTCTTGCATCTACGATATCACACGGATCAGAGGCCTTATCAGTGTCCGGATTGTGGCAAGAGTTTCGTGTCCAACTCTTTGCTCAAGAGGCATCGCAAAGTGCACGAGAAAACCGTGCAGCCGAAGATACGATGAAGGATAAAATGAATCTTTATCTCCTTTTAAATTGATTTATCGACTGTGATTGTAATACATTGTAATAAAACAGTATAAACGAGAAACGATTTTGATTATGATCCAAACTGCGATTGAATACGATATCTCGCGTAAGTTAATTAACGATTCTTTTCAGTTGCGAAAACGCATTTACTAAAGCATCGACTTTATCCTAAGTAACTGAAAATAAAGATAAAATTGAATAATAAACTGAAAAAACTGAGCAAATGAATGTTAGTAGAATTGCAGTGCCTAGGATGCTTTATGTAAATGTGTGTCTACCTTGGTTATTGCAGCCCATGGACGAATAATCACGATTTGAAAGTGAAAAACGGGGACCAACCTGATCTTGGACAAAAGTGAGTTACACGATTTCTATTTTTTGCTTATACTTTTCTCTCACACATTTATAATAGAGAATTAAATATACAATTATTATAAAAACCGAAATTTTTAGATTCAATTTATTATTAAAATTAGATTTTCTTTAGCTTCTATCGTATGAAATATAGGAAATTATAGTAAATTTATTTTTGAATCAAATTCTATGAATTAGCTCCTTCAAGACTTTAAATCGATCTTCCTTTTATCTACTTTTAAATCGAGAATATAATTATCAAATAATTAAATTTAAATATTCAAGATATAAAGAAGCAAGATGATCCATGTAATACATTTTTTTAAATACTTACTTGCAAATAAAAAATCTGATTTTAATAAAACTTTATAAATTTTTATTTAATGATTTGTAGTAGCTCTATGTAGAAACTCAATTACATCCGTTTACAATTATTTATTCAAAAACGTACTTAACAATATAATCTCTTTGAAGGCATTTTAATTAAATAGTTTATGATTAAACATTAGAAAGAGACAGTTCGTTATGGAAACGCTTGCTGTCTTGAACGATTACAGATTCGAAGGTAGCGAGAAAATTTGCGAGCTGTGTCGAGAGAAATTCCACTTCGTTACAAGATTAGTCGCTCATCTGAGAATAGCGCACGGCATTCATCGACCCTTCAAGTGTGTCACTTGTGGCAAGAATTATCCCCAGCAATTCATGCTTAACGCCCACGTGAAAAAATCGCACACGCTCAAAACGGTGCCGTGTAACGAATGCAATTTCATGGGTGTTAACGCGACCGATGTGGAAAGGCATAGAAAACGACACCATCGAGCCTCGAAATTCACGTGCGAGATTTGCAGCGAGAATTTCGTCGACAAGGACGCTCTAATCACGCACACGACGATGCACAATTTTATGCAGTATCAACAATGCAGCGCGTGTGGTAGCATCTTTAATGACGTGTACAGGTATGCCTTTCTGATCGCAATTAAAACATAGGAATTTATTTATATTTTCTTCATGTTTTATAATTCGATTTTTCAAAATTCTCAACAAGATTTTTCAAATATTCAAATCATATCTCAATATATAAAAATATCCACTCTCTTAGTTTGATTTTTACTATTGACAGAAAATGCTCTAGCGATTCTTGATCTGCCTTGAAGGAGCAAGTTTCTTTTCTAATTAAAAAGTCCTATCAAGACTTTAAATCACAATTAATTTTACAATATAAAAGTGATATTGAGCGCGCGATATAGATTATAAAAGAAAATATTACGTAGCTTAAAGGAGCATAATCGTCTCTACCACTACGATCCTGCAGTCATGTCGAATGAGAGAATCGAGGAATCCAATGAGAACGGACCGGAACACAAGTGCGATGCTTGCGATAAGGTCTACAAATACAAATCGATGCTGAAGCAGCACAAAATTAAGGCCCACGGGGATCCGTCTCTCTACGAGAGACGTAGGTATCTTTGCGCACAGTGCGGTAAGGAGCTGAAGACGGCGAAGGGCCTCGAAATTCATCACAGATCGCACACCGGCGAAAAACCGTACACCTGCGAGGTGTGCGGCAAATGTTTCGCTTGCGAGACCCTGCTGAGGACCCACAAGGTCATACATACCGGAGAACGGAAGTATTCTTGTGACCAATGCGGCAAGGCTTTCACGCAGAGATCCACGTTGGTTGTTCACAAGCGATATCACACGGGCGAACGACCGTACATTTGTCCTCGATGCGGTAAGGGTTTCATCACACGAACTGTTCTTAATACTCATATGAAGTCTTGTCGTTGAAGACTTGCACTTACGGGATTGATAAGCTAATCCCCCGACGAAGAGATCTAGTTAACACAAACATTTGAGAAATATCATATAAATATTTAAAGACGCTTTCTAATTCTTCAAAGGTCTCTTTGCGTTGTCTGGATAGATTTAGTGAATTTATGAATGAATAAATCTATAAACGCTGAAATTTTAAAATAAATTAACTAACCTGACGGCTCAGGTATAAAATATATAGATTTAACTAAATAATTAGGCAATATCGAGCCAAGATGAAATTAAAAAAAAAAATAATGATTCGGGATAAAATTATTTATAAAATTATAAAATTATTTATTTCAAAATGATAGATGAATATATCACTCGCCATTTTGGTAACAAAAAAAGCTGTCCGTGGCATTAATCGTATATACTTATAATATATATGTTAATTATAAGTAATATGTAATGACACATTTATTGCTTAAAAGAGACGTAATTATATCGTAGCGTGAAGTAGCTTTTTTAAGTTTTATATAGGTCGTTTGTCTCATAAAATAAAAAATATAATTTTTCATTAAAAGTATTTGACGATCAGAAATGTGATACATTTTTTGATATACATATAATTTAGAGTTATTTTTATACATTTTTATATATTTTTTATAATAAAATATTTTCAACCATAATACGTATGTATAATAGATGTCTGTATTATAAAGTCATCAAATAACGTTCTTATTGCTACACTTTTTCTCAATTGAATTCTTATACTACATGTATAGAATAAAAATATTCTGTTTTCTCGTTGCATGTTCTTATAGCGAAAGAAATCTACAAAAGAACAGCAGAAGAACATCTCTTTGCAATCATTTAACTGATTTATAAATTTTACGCATAAGAGATCACAATATTTTAGTATACAGACATTTGATTGTATAATATTCATCGTTATATGCGAATCTATTATAGTATCTTCTAAAATGTAAGTCAATTCCTATAAATAATATTATTTTTAATATATTATAGATGTTTTTATAAATAATCGCCACTTTAATATTGTTAATTAGTAGTTTTTTTTACGAATAATGTAAAAATACAGATTAAATAATGCAAAATTTATATACGCCGATTTTTTATATAAAGAGATAAATTTGACGAATTTATATAAATTTATTTAATAAATCGACAATTATTATATGATAAATAAATAAAAAATTAAATTATGTAATGATACTTAGATACAAATATTTTTACACACTTTATCCAAACATGTGTACAGAAACATAAATTCTTTAAGATTGAAATCAAGAGAGAGAGAGTCTAATTATATTAACCCTCGACACTTTTAATTATAAATTTTAATACTTTTTTACATTTTTATACATTATAATCCTGTTATACATTACAATCATATAATATAACTTCATTTTTAGATAATTTTTAAAATTTATTATATTGTTTTATATATATATATATATATATATATATATATATATATATATAAAGAAAAATTCTTGAAATAAAATATCATAAAACATTGATATCAAAGTAAAGTAAAGCATTTCTTTAAAAACTCAAAAATATTGATGCAAGTAAGACCAATCATCAATAGAAGAATAGGATCGAGGTAGGATCTTCAACTCGGAAATCGACTCCTTGCTCATGCATTTTACGATCGTACTGATAATTAATATCATTCAATATAGCACGATTTTGGATATTAATATTCCGAGGTTTCACATGTATCATCCTAAAATCTGTAATCACATTCATTCGATTGAGTTTGCATTGATACTATAACGAAATGTTCTTACTTACGTGTTTTACATTCAGCTTGAAGTTGACATATTTCGCGCAAGGTCCCGAAATTTCTTATAATTCCATCGTATTGCAATCTCGTCAATCGCTTGCAATGTATCAACATGGATACTAGTAAATCATCGAGTAATTCGCGATTGTTCCTAAGTTGCAGTATAACTTCGACTGTAAAAGAAAATATCTTTTGCTATTCGTTATTAAATAATCTCTTCTCTTTGATAATTTAGGTAATGTTAAACATAAAAGAGAGAGAGAGAGAGAGAGAGAGAGAGAGAGAGAGAGAGAAATTTATCGGAAAACTTAAATTAACTGATTAAAATTTATTTAATAAATTGAAAAATATACATTAATAAATGCATATATTAATATTTAAATTCTGAAAGTTAATTAAAAAGCATAGTTTATGAAATACCTAATGTATTCGTGTATTGAGTAATTAGCAGATTGATCGTGCTTCTAAAATTCCGAGATCTGCTCTGATCCCATACGTGTCCGCTGAACATGTGAAACTTGGCTAAGGGGACACTGGGTAATAGCAAGTAATACATGTCTTCGTAGTGCGAGATATTCACTGAAAATCAAACTTGAAAAGATAAATGGTGCAATGAAATTCTCATAAATCTGCCAGAAATATGACATGTGATTTAATTTAATAAAAACAGACTAAACCTATGTATTCTTGTGTTAATTTAAGCTTCGTTTTTTATTTTTATAAAGACACATAAAAAAATAAAAATTATTAATCTAACTTATTTAAATCATGAAGGAGATATAATCAATGTAATCTTAATAAAAAAAAAAATTCTTAAAGGTAGACCTGATCTTAATGCAGATAAAATACAATCTTAGAATAATAGCAACATTCTATTATACCTATAATATAGGATACTGTCAAATCGGGACAAGCTAGCACTAAGTTGTGCCAAGCAGCATCCGCTACCATGTGTTGTCTAGAGTCTGAATCTCTCACAGATATATACAGACTTTTTAACGTTGCTGTTCCACTCGCAAGAGCATTCAGAGCATGATTCGATAGAGCTGGATAGTCTAATTTCAACAAACTTAGAGCATGGAAACGACTCAGCAAACGCAAATATCTGGAAAATAATGAAAATTAACAATTTTAATATCATAAAAAATAATTAAAATTAAACATGATTAAGTTAATTATATTAAAAAATAACATTAATTATTGTAAGCAAATTGTCTTGAAATTGCGCGTGTATATGATATTGATAGATATTGTTATTTAACACAATTTATTTTATCGTGATCATATTATGTGTGTGTGTGTATGCAACATTATATTTGTGTATCTGTTCATTATTAATAAATTATGTTTTTCTTCCCCGCTTTTCCGAACCTCGGATTATCATGAGGAGCTTGCCACTCTCTGAAAGCACCGCGAAGATCCAAAGAGACTAAACGTTCGCCAGATCCTTTGGCAACTGTTCCTAATAATCGCAAAACGTCGGTTACACCAAAGTCGGCGTTCAGTAAGCTCAGGATTTCAAGATTGCGTTGACCGCTGAGAATTAAATAGCAATTCGCAATTCGCTCGATTGTGTTAAAATTGATAGGAAAAGAAGAGGACAGAATTTGTGTTCACCGCAAAAAATTCGCCAGGGCACAAAGCAGCATTCCCCTGTTGCCCCATTTGTAGCCGAATACCCAATTTGTCAATATTAGCTGTCGCAGCTGTACATCTTTAGCGCGAATGATCGTGAGAAAATCAGCACCGGCTTCAGCTTGAGTGTTGCGCGTAATTCTCATCTGCCTTGGTAAGATGTAAGGTCGTGAAAATGCAAGTTCCAGGCTGCGCATATACTGTCCATATTTCGCCTGTAAAATTTGACAATAAATTTAATTTATCTTAATCAACCGAATCCGATGTACACCGATGATATGACATAATAAACTATATGAGAAATTTCAATTATCAAGGCTACAGTTATTAAAATGACTTAAATGCCAATGAGGAATCCTTTTCTCTCTCTCGAATCTGTAGATTTTTCAATAAAAATTCGCAATATATTTTTGAATAAAAATTTGCAATATATTTGAGAATTTAAAATCATAAGAAAATTAAATAACGAATGTTTTTCATATTATTAATCAATTCTTTTTTCTTTTTTACTTATCTATTTTATGTGTGTTGAGCTAACTTATAGAGAACTTTCTTTCAATATTTCCAAATTCGATCACGTTACGAAGATGATTCAATTTTTATATACGAGTTCTCTAATATAAGCAAGTTGTTGATTTAAATTAAACTTGAAAACAATCTGTCAGTCTTTATTGCAAAATTCTCTTACGGCTAATTCTCCGGCTAAAGGGAAGTCACCGCGTAACTCGCGATCGATGAGGACTGTGAAGGATCGCCAGAGCACCGGCGAGGATAACGTGCGATTCCATGATCGGCAGACTTGACCGACGCTGACACGATCGGCCCGATTCAGGTAACCAAATATCTGCGTCAGTATCAGCTCCGGTAGCTGATCCCACATCTCCCAGTTTCAACTTGACTCGTCTTCATCTCTCTTTCAAACGATCGTTAGCCTGAATTATCTTCGGGCGCGCGTTTATCAAGTTTGAGTTTCGTTGATCGTTACTGTCAAAAATAGATCGTAAAGGACTGCATTGAAGTGAGAAAAAAATATATTTACATATAATATCGATACTTGATTAAATATGTAGTACTTAATGTTAGTAGCAAATGATTATATTATTAAAAGAATCTCTTAGGATGTGTTTTCTAAAGATAATTATTAAATTTTAATTGATTTTTACTTTCTTGGATATTTAAGCTTTGTACTAAAAGTGTTTTCTCCAATTCGAGTGTCAATTTCTCAATTTCTGTTTCTTGTTCACGTATACTTTTATGTAGTCTTCTTCCTTTATCAGGTACTATTTCAATGTTTCTTTGAGTAATTAATAACTAAAAAAAAAGTTTTCTTTATATCTAAGAAAAATGTTTCTTTTTGTATATACAGAAATTATTCATAATATTTATTTTATTAATTTAAATATACAATTATTACATATAAAAGTAGTTGTTTCTCCTCTTTCAATATTGCTATATAAACTATAAGTGAACTAAATAAGGGAATTAAATATTTTCTTATACTTACTTTTATTTTAGTTAATGGATTTTTAAGCTGTTCTAATTTGCAAACCGTACCTGCTCTTTTTTGTGTTACTAATCGATCTATATTTCTAACACCAATTTAATTCTTGTTTCGCAGAAGATAATGCTACTTTAAATTCACTGCTTCTTTCAGAACTGGAATCTACAAATTACAGAGTTATATAAAAAAATTAATCTAGCCTTATATAGACTCTATTTCATATTCATCTATTGAAATCAATGATAGTAAAAAGAAAGATATTATTCACAATAGCACTAAAGAAGAAATAAAAGAATTAAAACTTAACTATTCTAATAAATCTCTTGTTAATAATATCTTTCTTTTTACTACCATTGTTTTCAATAGGTGAATATGAAATAGAGTCTACAAAACAGTATAATTGAGTGAAAATACATAATGCTGTGATGTTATTTTAATAATAAATATCTTTAAAATATATAAAATTGTAAAATATATTATATTGGATAAAATACCATAAATACCATAAATAATTTGATCTTCCTTTGAATTACACGTTTGAGATGTTTCTCGAAGTTTCTCTATTTATCAGAAAAATTCAACCGTTTGAGTTATCTTTCATTTTTTTGGTCGACCGTATCGAAGGTCCGATTATAATGTGTACAATAATAATAATAATAATAATAATAATAATAATAATAATATTAATAATAATAATAAATACGTAGTTTTAATAATAATAATAATAATAATATTTATATTACATACGTTCGGCTTTGCTTTAATTTTACACATTATATTCAGGCCTTTGATACGGTCGATCCAAATAATTGATATTTATGTACCGATCAATTTATGCAGTCAATAATCGTGCACGTTTAAATTTTCGCGAACAATTAAAAATTTTTACGCATTACCATCCGCGGTGGCTCTTATTCGCTAGTTTCTTATCGTGTTGTTTAAATACATATAGAGCCTAATTTTTTTCAATTTATTTAATTCACGCGGAGCTGAAAAGATCGCGTTTCATTATTTCCATAGATATAAACAAATAGACAAGAGGGATGTCGGTGTGAGGCTGAATAGCTCAGTAGTAAGAGCAGTCGCCCAGCAAGCGAAAAACTCGGGTTCAATTCCCGATGAATTATTAACAAGAGATTTATTATGCAGTCAATAATCTCTCGCATGATAAAAAGATTGACACACGAAATAAAACTCACCCTGTATCATGTACAATAGTCGCTTCATCATGAAAAACGTTTTCATTTTCTGCACTTCATGATAATACTTCATGACCTGACATTTCATGATCTGATATTTTATAATCTGATATTTTATGAATAATTTCATCATTTTGCTTATGTGAATTATTAACAAGAGATCATGCCGCGTGAACTCCATCTTTACTCTTCATCATGGCAGTGAGTTTTTTTTGCCCCGAAATGCTTGCTTTGATCCGATTGTATCTCTTATCGTTCAATTCTGTTAAATATCATTTTAATATGGAAATAGCTCATATCAATAATAAATTGACGATTATGTTCGTTTTTTACAAAGGCGATGATATTATAAGTAGTTGCTGTGACACTTGGATAAGATCGCACGCTTGTCGAAAGACATCGGCTCGTATTTAATTTATTGTGTTATACTGTTATAAGCTTGTTTAATAATAAATTTTTGCTTCCCTTTCTTAATGAATTTTTCTTTTAAATAATATTGATTTTTTTTAATTCATACACATCAATGATTTACTGAAAATACGTTTCATCGATATCGATTAGATAGGCTAGCAGAATACTGGTCCACGTATGATATTTTTATTTTTATCTATAGAGACTAAGATAATATTAAAATTAAAGAAATAAAAATTATTCATTTGGTTTGAATAATATTCATATTGCTAAACACCTAGCAAAAATTTTAATTATTAAAATAACTTTAAGCTAATAGTTGATGCCACAATTATAAATCATAATCATAATCAAACGTGCACAATAATTATTATTGTTAGATAAGTAAAAAAATTAAATCTAATAGAAAATTAATATTCGAATGACAAATGTTGGGTTGTTAATATGATTATTTTTTATTTTTTTGCAAGAATCTCGTTAACTTTAAAATTATGTTCCATAAGATAAACTATTAAAATATATAAAAAAATTTAGTTTCAATAAATATAATACTGAATATATGGAAACTAAATTTTTTTTATATTTTTTAATAGTTTATCTTATGGAACATAATTTTAAAGTTAACGAGATTCTTGCAAAAAAAATAAAAAATAATCATATTAACATATAACTTCTCTCTGCTGGTATATATTTGAAATAGCGACATATCGATTATACGATAATATCGACGATTCGATAATATCGACGATTCGATATATCAGTTTGAATGATATGCCGGCGTCGCCGGCGATTGTGGGAAAGGCAAGTGGCGTGTGTATGCAAAGAGGTGTTTGCCTTATATTTGGGAAGTTCTAAAAATTATCATATAATTTAATCCTTTAATAACATTTCGTATTAAAACTTACTTGTCGTAGAAAAAATTTGTAGTGCAAAAAATATGCATTCTCTGAGGAAATTGTCTATTTCTTTTTCTCGGACACTGAGAAATAACGCACGACGAACTCTAACCTCACACCCAGCTGCAAATGCAAATTCCAACAAGAATAAAGGTAAATGAAAGTATAACATGAAAGTATAAACAATAGACACATAGAAATATATTAAAAATTATGGTATAATTCAACATTTTAATAAAATTTTGTATTAAAATTTGTCATAAAGAATACTTTTTGTTATAAAAAAAATGTATTTTTTGAAGAAATTATTTTTTCTCACAGAGAAATTTATTTAATAATGTTTCAGAAAGACCAATATTGGTAACTCAAATGGATCAAGTAACTACAATTGGTATTAATCGTCCTGAAAAGAAAAACTGTTTAGATACCGCAACTGCACAATTACTATCAGAAGCATTGGATGAATTTGAAAATAATGAAGAAGCATCAGTGGGAGTGTTATATGGAGTAGGAGGCAATTTTTGTGCTGGTTATGATCTCAAAGAAATTGCAGACTATGACGGCGAGAGTGAAGAAAATATACCGCATTTTGGACCATTGGTATATTTGTATTATATGTTCAAAGTTGTAAAATGAATCATTTGATTTAGAAAAGTTTAAATAAGAAAAGTTTCTTTAATTCTTCACAGGCAAATAGAACTGAATTATCCAAGAAACCATTGGTTGCAGCTTTAAGTGGATATGTTGTTGGAATAGGATTTGAACTTGCTCTAATGTGTGACTTAAGAGTTATAGAGGATACAGCAATGATGGGTTTTTTAAATAGACGTTTTGGCATTCCAATTTTATGTGGAGGTACCGTCCGTTTGCCTGCACTGATTGGATATTCCAGAGCTATCGAACTTATATTAACAGGAAGACTAGCTACTGCAGAGGAAGCGTTTAAGTGGGGAATTGCACATAAATATGCATCGTGTGGCACAGGTATATTAAATTATTATTTTAGCATTATTTAAAAACTTGAAGAGAAGACACAGTACAAAATATATAGAGTTAAGTTATTAAATTTAGCTTCGTATTATCATATTTTTAGGTATATATATATATATATATATATATATATATATATATATATTACTCTGTTTAATTATATATATATAAAAACATTGATAATAATATATATGTCTATTCTTAAATATGTATCTTATTTGTTTCAGCTTTGGGTGTAGCAGTAAATTTTGCATCTTCTCTCGTAAAGTTTCCGCAAAAGTCTTTACTGGCGGATCGTACCTCGGCGCACTTTGCCGCGTATTCGGCAAAGCCAATGGAAGAAGCATTACAATTCGAGAAAGATAACTCGTCGCATTTGATATTGGAGGAAGGTGTTGAAGGCGCTAAGAAATTTATTCATCATGGAATTGGAAGGCATGGAAAGTTTTACGATATCACGCTTAAGGATAAGAACATTAGGGAATTAGATGAGACTTTATTGTAAAAGGTATATATTAATTAAAGTGCGTGTATATAACAATGTATATAGCAATTTTAGTTCTTTTTCTCTCTGAATATTTTAAGTTCACTAAATTTGTTAATTTCTATCATTTATTTTGGGGAGAGGGCTACTATATAATTTAATTTATACATATTAAAATATTATTGTGTGCATTGAATATGTATCAGACCCATGTTTATAAAAATAAAAACTTGAGCAATGCTACATCAAAGCATATATGCATTGTACAATGTGTAATTAATGTGAATAACTTTATTAGGTTGAATTTTTCATATTTCGTCAGATTAATGAGTTATTATGCTTTTTAGGCGTAGATTTAATTGACGACGTTCTTCGTGACGGTCTTCGTACCTTGGATAGAATATCACAACATCTTTTGGCTACCTTTCCTGTTAGAAGTGGTGTCAAGTTTATCATCTGTCCATTTTCATCCCCTGAAAAATATCTCCTGTAATATCTCCTACAATAGGTAAAATAATAGTCACATATTACTAACGTTCAAAAGTTATGATAAAATATGTTAAATCAGATTGAAGAACGTCTGTTCCGCGTGTATAAGGTTCGTAGAGAGATACATTTTTTAATTGACAATTTACTTCATCGCATAAATCGAATTCATCTGAAAGTTTTCAAGTAGTAAATGTAATTCATTTCTTCAAACAACTTCAAAATTATATACGTTTATTATCTGATTTTCTAAAAATTTTAATCTAATTTAAAAAGATATTGATTTTTACATTTTATAATAATTAAAGTACAATTTTTACAAAATTATATGTCAAAGTTTCCAGTTAAAGGTTCCAGTTATTATTTAAATTGTATGATAAAGTTTCCATATATATAAAATCAATATCATTATTTTATTTTTATTTACATGTACCATTCACACGTGCAACTTGTCTAATGTAATTGAGTATCATCTTAATTGAACAATTTATGTTCACCAACGTTTCTCTTTCTACAGATGTTGTGTTTGATTGTCCAACCTCATTACTATTTGATAAATATTCTGTAATTGGAATTTTCTATGCTACTAGTCAATATTCTCTTTAAAAAGATTTTAATTTCTTACCAACATATTTAATTCTTAGATTTTAATTTCTTACCAATGTATTTAATCCTTAAATTTTAATTTCTTACCAACGTATTTAATCCTTATAATAGTTGTCATATTAAATATGATGTTTATTTGGCATCACAAAATATAATCAAACAGATCGTGTGTGTGTACTTCTTTCAAATATATCGATAGCTTTACGATCGACAAGATGCATAATTATAAGTGGCATGAATTGCATAGCAATTCTACATTAGAAGCATATTTGTTATCTCGCTTAGATTCCACTTTTTTAACAAATTTTCAATATTAAATAGCAAAGAATATTGTAAGTAAAGGAAAAATTGCGTTTAATCTTTTATTTAATTAACATTCTATTTTTATTTGACTGAAGAGAAAAAAATATGAATAAGTAATCAGAAATCTATATATCTAGGGTAAAGCATCTGATTCAACAAGAACCAAAAGATATCGACTGCGTATCTATTTGTGCAGGAAATGCATTTCACCGATGCACATCTATATGCCTTTCTGGGAGAGACCGCGACTTAAACAGCCAGCGACATGTTTCGTCGTCGGTCTGGAATTCCGAATAATCCTGGAATTTCATATTCGCAAGTTAAATTACAACAACTGACTGTGCAGGCTTAATTGGCGAAAGTAATGCGAGAGACCGGCCGGCCGGCCAACCACTGTCGAGCTTGTTAAAGTCGTTGTGACGAAACGAGTGCAGGTGGCGGAGTGCATTGTTGCGCAATCGTCCGCAGTATCCCTCCTTCGCGTTCTCCTTGTAACCAGGAGTCAGGACGAGGGTCCCCTCGATAAACCAGAGGGGCCTCCCCACCAGGTGCCCTCCTCCTTAGTGGATACCTAGGTGAATGTTTGCGCCTGCTTTAAGAACGAGTTAATGCGAGCTTCTTTTTTCCCCTGTCTTTCCTTTCTTAAGGGAATCTTCTCTCCATGAAACCTGTCGCTATCTCCATTCCATGTCCTTTTGCACTTGACAGGTACTCACGATGATAAAATCCGTCAACTGCGAGATACTTTTATTTCGATAAACAGCGTATTCATATCTCTTTTTGCATTACAAATACGGGTTATTAATAAAAAATTTAATCTGTTTTTCTTGGAAATAATGACATGATTTGAATAAGATTATAAAAAAGAATGCTTTTTTACAGTATGATATAAAAAAAACATTTGCGACAGTTTTTTAGTTGAAATTAAATGATATTGATAGAATCGATGTTCAATTTAAAATCTGATTCTATAAGTTCACATTCTAAAGACGCATATAAAGTGACGATATAAATATTCTAGATCATCGTTACTTTATAGAATGCGAAGTGCATGCTGTTATTGTTTACGCCCAGTTATCTGGTTCTAAATTCTTGGCACACAGTCTTATTGTTCTTACCTTGTTGCGATGACCTATATATTTAAAAGAAGAATGACAGTCACGCGAATTTGTTAACGAGGCAATTCCCGGAGAGCGCATTCGTCATCTTCCCATCAGCTGTCGAGACGCATAGGAACGTTCGTTCCTATATTTCTTTGTGATCGGTCGCGCTTAATACATGGCATTTAAGGCAAACGTAGACGTCAGACCTTTCACACAAATCTCCATTGTACTCGACGATCTATTATTATTAGTGGCTCACCGTGGGGGAAAGTTTTGCCTTATGGTAGACTCTGACTCTGCAAAGATGCATTCTTTGTCAAATAGACAAAACGTTTTATGTTGCGGAAACTTGCGCAGATGTACTTCGATGTGCTTGATCTAATCAAACTCTCTTGCATCCGCAGAAAGCTACATCCTATGAAACGATTCACTCTTATTCTTTGTGTATGCACTACAGAAAACTCGATACCTTATTGACATATCGAACAACTCGAAGAAAGAGCACTTCGCAATAGTATGCTTAAATCTTTTATTGCTTTTCCTAAAGAATATTCGGTTTGACTGCATGCACATATATTAAGCATACATGTAAACATTTAATGTTGACGTAATTAATCTAAACCATTTATATAATTGCAGGGCTATGTAGCCATCGAGACGAATAAAATTCATAAGATGTCATAAAGTGATCAACCATGATGGAGATTCTCAAAATCTCTTGAACGTGTTAAAATAAAAGTATGACCTTAAAATAGGAATTGAATCATTGTGCAAAATAATATATCATGCACTACGTGAAAACTGGAGCTGTTGCGCCGAGAACTTTACAAGAGAATTATAGATCGTCATATGTACATTTTGTATCGATATATTAGATTGAATCTATATAATATAACGCTATTATAATATATCGCAATCCTTCAATATTACTTATAAAAATTATTATAAATATTTAGAGATTGTTGGCTTTTATTCCAAACATGCAAATTACGCATATATTATGTATACTTCGACAATGGATTTATTGAAAAGCGAAAACGACGATGTCGCGACACGATAAAAGTATTTTCGCAAAGTATTTTTCCCCGATGTGATAAGAATCTAAAAAATTAAAAAAAAAAGATATTGTTTTCAATCACAGGAATGATCATCCTTTATATGGGTGTGTCGTGCCGGCATTCTGTGTTCCGTGTTGATCGTATCTATATCGCGCTTAAACCATTACGTTTTACGAGGTGGATGGATATAAAGTATCCTCTCTTTCCCTTGTCTCTCTCTCTTTCTCCCATCATCATAATCCTCGCGACAGCAACAGGTATCGTCTCGTTCTTCTCGAAAACGAGGACTGCGCGAGAAAGAGAAATATTTTCCTTTCTCTTTCTCTTTTGTAGGAACAGGACCTGTCTCTGAAATATCGCGAAATTTATTGCGAACGTCCGCGGTATCACGCGACAATCCTGCTCAATCGACGTTTACCAACGCGATGATATAAAACAGTATCTCCCCAGTTGCCAAGTAGTTGCCAAGCAGAAATTTGGTAAAGTGCTGGAACAGAAGACAAAGAACATTCAGTATTATATTTTTAAAAATAAAAAGAGAGATATGTGGAGATATAGAAAAACATATATTTCTTTCTGAAAAATAGAAATGTAACATATGTTTTTAAAATAAATCAAATTATATATAAATTATATATTATATATTAAAGCGATCTCACTTTATTAGTGAGACTGTTAATTGAAATTTTTGTCCATTCTCTTTTTTTTATTAATATCGATTGATACACTTTCTCCGCGAAAAGTTAGCAGAAAAAAACATTCGATAATTTAAATTTTAATCGATAACAAAGGAAAAATAGACAAAAATATGAATTTAAAAAATAATGTATCTTGTACAAAACAGGAAGAAATCGCGAAAGAATGAAATTTGAGAGCTACTGTCACCAACAATTTAAACAGCCGAATCTGTTTGCTCATAGTCTGAAACGTTAATAGATATTACGGTGCGTTTGCCATTCGCAGCTTTGATTAAAAAGCGAATTTTATATCGCAAAACACATGAAAAATCAATGAAAGTCACAAAGAGAACTCTGCTCAAATATGCGTAATATCTATCTGCAATAATAATGAAAGTGTCCAGTGTTGTTTGCGTGCAAAACAATTTGATTACGCGCGCAAATAATCTCGGAATAATCTCGGAATCCTAAAAGAAGTCACGTATGCTGAGACATTCCGCAAAATATTCTGCCAATGCACGAATATATATCGCATAGCAACGCATGAAGTATGAAGTATGCAAACACATGCATATAGCTATATGTATTATTACATTCTTATCACGTTCAATCGGAAATACTACATGAGAATTCTTATTGACTTTTGATTATTGGCGTGAATATTTTCATTGTATGATATAGCCTCAATTAGCATAAGTTATTCATACACTTTTATACTATTTATATCTATACATTTACATATTTATACATCACGACAATGATATTCTCTTGATAAGTTAATTTCTCTTTATCTAAAGATAATTTTACTCAATGTCAAGTATTCTTTTCAATAATAATAAAATCTTTTTAGAAAAATCTTTTAATTCTAGTCGAGATAAAATTAATTCAATTATAATAAAGAATATTGTTGTGTTTAATCATGTTATTGAAAATTAATTTTATTTTTATTTTATTTTTAAATTATATGTTTTATAAGTACATTTGATGCAATGGAAAGCGAGCGTATAATAATGTCAAAGAATTAACAGATATCTATTGATCAAACTTTTATTTATTTTATTTATTTTGTTTTTTATAAATTATACGGAATAGAGATTATACGTAATCTTTTTTATATCATAAATTAAATTTCATGTAAACTATCAATCAACGATATCATAAATGTAAATCGCATGTCTAGGTATACTTAATATCAGTACCACTACTTTTGTCTTCGAACTCGAGGAAGTCTGCCATACGCTAAACGAAGACTCCCCGCGTTCTATTTTTGAGATCCCTTGCTAGATAAGTAACGGGTATATGGCAGAATAATGCTTTATAGAACAGGTCATTGAAATCCATTCGATCTTCATAAGTGCACTTATATAAGATGTATATACCTATAATTCATAATCTGTCTCGTAACAATCAGATAAAATTTGCTTTGAGAATTCATCGACGATAGCATGTTTGAAGTCCATTGGATATGCCTGCATCGAGACTGAAGTATACAGATTTATCGATTTATATCGCACAATTGAGTAATAGTTATCATATAGTATTGCATTAATCTTTGTTGTCAATATGCCACACAAGAATATATTAATTAAATGTATAAAAAATGCAATTAATACCATAATAACGCATTCATTTTATTGTTATTTCCCTTTAAAGTTCGGAAGAGACTTGTTTTAAAGCAGGAGTAGAAACTAGTATTTCGAAAATAACAGTGGGAAGACAAAAAAGATTTCTCTGTATTTACTTGTTATAACGTGGAAATCGATGTAGATTTTCTTTCTTTAAATTTTTATTCATTTGCGTGGTTTTCACCAGAATTATATCGATTTTAATTGTCGTTCAGTCGAAAAATACAAATATTTACGTGAAAATATTACGGAACAATGACTCGAGGTGAAAATATAAAAATGTGCACATCTAGCACATCGGTTATTGCACTTATCCGCGATGAATGTGCGTTTTGCGCACGCAATTGCGTGTAGGTGAATCGCCTCGAGTAATGTAACAGCCCACATTTTATTTCGCTGCACTTTTACTTTACGTGTATGCTCGTGGGACGACCTTGTTATGGTCTGAATACCTACCAGGAGTCCATTCGAAGATCCTTTCTATCAATATATCATCGCGCCGAGTTATTTTCAATATATATATATATATATATATATATATATATATATATATATATATATTATAAACTATAGTTAAACAATGATCATATAAACACACACACAACTGACACATTATTCAATGATTTGGATTTCTTCAAATCACTTGGTGCTTCTCGTTCGAACGAAAATTGATCATGATTCTTATTTAGACATAAAAATGCAGCGAATTCTTTCCATAGATAGAATAAGAAGTTTCATTCGTTGTTACAAAAACACATTTTGATATCATATTGTTTTGACAGGAAGAACATTCCACACGTTCTCTTCAATTGAGTTTATCGTAATAAGTGTATATTACATAGAGAATTTCTCTGTAATATAATTTATTTCTTTTTTATATATATGTTTTTTTTATTATTATTCAAATTTCCTGATGTCCCTTCAAAAATAATTGTAAAAATAATCGTAAACGCTAATTGTTATTTTCTTATTGCACGTGTAACTTTGAAATAGTCAATATGTATCATGAGTTTCTGTTTTATAATATTTGTCCGATTAAGATACTTATAAGCAGTAAAAATATTTATTTAGAAATTTACCATTAAAAATTATTTAGTTTTATTAATGATTGATATAATATATTAACAATACATTAAGACATTAGAGAAGAGCAATATTAAAAAATAATATTACTATTTATACTATTTTTACTATATTATTATTGTTACTATATATACTATTTGAATTGCATTTTCAAGAGTTTTTTTTATCAATTATTAAAATAATTTTAGATTAATAATCGATAAAGTTTATCACA